AAATCAGGTTTTAACTTTATTTAATAAAAAATTAGGTTTTAATTTCACAGTTAATATTAATAATGATATTTTAAATTAAATTAATCTATATACCCACCCCTACCCCCCCAAATTTCAATCACAATTCCCAAACCCTCATTTCCCTTCCGTCTCTTCCCCTTCTCCCTTCTCCTCCCCCTCGCTCCCCCCTGTCTCCATCGTCCGCCGCCTCCTCTCCTTCTTCTCCCTTCTCCGCCACCGTTGGGGCAGTTTTGCAGCGTCTGGAGGGCCTCAATTTCTTGGTAGGCCAAGAGCTTCGAAAGATTAGCGAGGTGCCGCCTCCTCCACCTCCACCTCCCCTTCTCCCTCCCCCTCCCTTATCCTCCATGGTGTTCACAGCGTCGAGGCGCTGCTGTGAATCGCAGCAGTACCTCGACGCTGCTGCCCCTAATGTCGCGACACCGGTTAGATCGGGTCACTGTCGATGGCTGGCCTGTAGTTTGGTGTTGCAGTTCGGGTCGAAGTTATGGTTGGTGGTGGGAGATGACTACGGCGGATGATTTGCATATTATGGTTTGTGTTGTTGGAGTGTGGGCTGGAGACTGGTTGTGCGTGAGGCGTTGGTTGGGTTGGGGTAGAGGTTTGGCTGCGGCAAGAATAAGCAAGAGATTTGGCTGCGGGTATGTGTGTGTAACAGACTGGTTGTGGGTGTGTGGCGGGGTCGACGGCGGTGGCAGTGATTTTCTTGGTGTGGTGATACAGGCGGCGATGGTGGTGTACTGGGAATGGATGTTTGGGTGTATGTGACCAACTATTTCAATCTGTGACTTGTGACCAAGTATTGGTGGTGTATTGGAATTGGGAACATGTGTTTGGGTGCATGTGACCAACTATATGGTCCCATGACCTTAAAATTCATTAATCCGTGACTCAAAATATAATATATGACCAACAAATTTGGAAATATGTGATCTCTGTTATCTACAATTTTTAATTCGTTAATCCGTGTCTCAAAATATAATCTGTGGCCAACAAATTTGGAAATATGTGATTTCTGTTATCTACAATTTTTTTAACTTGTGACCAATTAAAAATCTGTGACTTATAATTTTTTTGATCAGTGACCAATAAAGTCAATTGTAACCTATAATTTTTTTGATTTGTGATCTCGAAATAATCTGTGACCAATTAATTTGATAAGTTGTGACCTCGGAAATTAAATTTTTAACTACTTAATGAGATATCTGTGACCTCGGAATTGGAGTAGTTACTGGAATTAAGCGACGACGAACAGTCACCGGAATAGTCGCCGGAATTAAGTGCGGTCGGGGAACAGTCGCCGAAGCAGTAGGGGTGGTGGAGGTGAGGTGAGGTGGGGTGGGGTGGGGTGGGTTAATTATATTATATTACGGTTAAATATTTAATTTAATATAATAATTGTAAAATATAATTAATTAATTCATGGAAAAACTTGATTTTTGCAATTCTAAAATTTGAGGCCTGATTTTTGATTTCATGATAAATAACCTGATCCATGAATTTTTCCCCTGATAATTTCACACTTGTGGCTCATGACCTGAAACCAATAAAATGGCCCAAGTCGCAATTTGAAATAACAACTTTAGTTGTGAAAGGAATTTGATTAAATGCTAGTTGCTGTGGGTCATTGATCTCAGTTGTGCTACATGGTATAAATATAACCCATTGGGGTTTCTTTCATTCGTTCCAATTGTCTGACTTGTGAGTGAGGCTAGAGTTTTCTCTCTTGCTTCTGTTCGTCTGAAACCTCCGATTTGATGTATTCTTGAGTGTCTTGATAACATTCTTGAGCAAGTCTATGTGATTCTAAGTAAGAGAAGAGATTTTGGGTTGAGGTTTACAATCCATTAAAGCAACTTCTCTGTGCCATTTATGTGGCCACCGTGATTGCATAAGGGTACAATAATCTGAACCCAGTTCTTTGATACATTAAGCTTTTGAATTCTGGTTTTGGTTGTAAAAGGTTTAGATCTTTTAGTTCGATTTTGTTCCTATAATCTCTATTTTGTATTTTAGTTACAAAACGTGCTATTATGGTTTAATAGAAATATCTACAATTGTAAATTTCTTANNAATATCTACAATTGTAAATTTCTTAAGCCGGTTTGATAAGCTATATTTTCCAAGGAAAGTGGAAAATGAATTTTCCCACTTTTTACCATGTTTGATGTGTCAAATTTTACTTGGAAAACTTTTTCCCATTTCCCCCTCACGTGACCTATTTTCCCTGAATTCCTTGAAATTTATTTCCCGTCTCAGAGTTGGTAAAACATTTTCCACCAAAATCAAGAAAATCGAACCCCAGAAAATCAAACACAAAGCTTTCCCCAAACCTTCTCTCGACACAGGACGTCGTTCGATTCGTCCTCTCACGCAGCATCGATTGTTGCCGTTTTCCAGTTGAACCCAGCCGACGACCATTGTCTGCAGTCGTCTCTCACGGCGAACCCTGCGTCGCTTCCTCCGCCGTTTCGGAAGGTTAATCAGGATTCAGAAGGTTAATCAGTTTCGTAGTTAGAGGTTTTGATTTATTTGGTAAATTTTGTGTTGATATGCAGATTGGAGTTCTCTCTTCTTTTTGGGGGATATTGAGATCTGGGTTTGAATGGTTGATTTTTCTGAGTTTATTCTTCATTTCTCATTTCTTCAGGATATAGAATCTAGTTCAGTTGTGTAAGAATTGATTCCTTGAGCTGAATTTTTGGATACCTCAGCCAATGCTAAAATCTGTTGCTGCAGGAGCTATTTTTAGGGGTTTTGCAACTGATTTTCAATTGGAATCTTCAATCAACTGGAGCCTTGTTAGTTGGTGGTTAATGACTGATTTCTTGACCCCTTTTTTGTCTATAAATAGGAGCTATATGTAGTGCAATAGATGAGCTCGAATTAGAGGGAAATAGAGTGAATCTCTGTGAGAAAGAGGAGCTCGAAAGTGAGAAAGAACTTTGTAATTCTGGAGTAGAAAGTGTAGATTAGAGAGGAACCTATCTGGAAATTCTTTCTAGTGATTCATGTAATTGAATGTAATCTTTTGTCAATAAAGATTGAGGAAGAAGAACTCGTCATGTTCCAATATCTGTGCTTCACTTTTCTTGCCGGTTCATTTCTTCTTCTGCTGGTTTTTCTTTTCTCTATTTTCCTGTAACTTTGCATTAATTTTGGATTGATCTTGAGCTGTGGGGAAGACCAAATCCCCAACAAGTTGGTATAAACGATATGCTTCTGAAGCGTTGTAATGGAGATTGCTTTATCCCGGTGATATTTGTGAGTTGAAATTCCATCCTAACTGGTTCTGTATATGGAAAAAATCATAATATTTTATGGAAAACAAAGCCGGTCAAACACCAAAAGATGGAAAATCTCAACATTTTCTAGGTGAAAAATTATACCAATCAAACGCAACTAATTGACAATTCCTGAGAAAAAAAATTATAGGCAAATATTTTTCCTGAAATTCATTTTTTTTCCACCAATTTTTCAACATTACAATCAAATGCACCCTTAAGCTTTGTTTGATAGGGCATTATTTTTCATGGAAAATGGAAAACAAATTCCAATTTCCACTTTTGTCTTGTTTGATACACTTTATTTTCCATGAAATTTTTTCCCACATTTGGCTCACATGCCCACCAATTCCTTGATTTTGTGGAAAATCAATTCTCACCATTTTTTGTGGGAATTGATTTTCCATCTTCTTTTTTTTTTTTTAAGAAAGTGGAAAATTTTTTAGATACAATATTAAAAAAATTTATTACTTTTATTGATAATTTTCATACAAAACAAAGTCAACGAATGGTATTCGTTATGGTATTTTTTTTTAAAAAGTGAAACAAATTCTAGACCCAACTGTAAAGGAAATTATTACTTTAATGAACAATTTTCATAAAAAAGAAAGTCAAACGGACACCAAACTTTTAACATTTTTCAGGTGAAAAATTATACCAATCAAACACAATTAATTACAATTCCCAATAAAACAATTTTTAGGCAATTCAATTCCCTAAATTTCATTTTCTTTCCACCCATTTTTCACATTTGCAATCAAACGGACTCTTAGTGTTTATCAAAATATATTTTGTTTCAGGTGTATATATCATTATGTGTAAACTATAGACATTTTAAGTTTCAATTTCAAAATTCAGATTTAACTTTTTTTATACAAAAAACAAATGATAATATAATTTTAAATATTAATTATAATATTATAAAATTAAATGAATATACAAACTCACCACCCACCAAAACACTTACCCCACCAATTTCAAACCCTAAAACATTTTAGAGCTTGTTCGGGAGGGATTAAAATCAGATTAAAATTGAAAATATAGCCGTTATTGTTGACTTTTATTAGACGAGTGGGACCCAATAACGGTCATATTTTCAATTTTAATTGAATTTTAATCCCTTTCGAACGGG